GGACAAAAGATACTGACACTAAAGGATGTCTGTCCTTCAGCTGCTAATGGGGATTTACAAAAATGAGTTCAGCCACTGCAAAGGGCATATGAGGATATGTGGTGTTTCTGCTGGAGAGAGACTCTAGGGATGCTTACTGCAAATAGAGCAGCTCCAGAACAGATCAATAGCTCCTGAAATGCTCATGGTTTTGACTCCTCACACACTTTTCAAAGCCTCATTTTACACTGAGATTTCAGCTCTACAGATACATCCTCTTCTGACTCCAGCTGTGCTGTATAATATCTCACCATCTCCACTGGATGTCCAGTTCTTATCTGTGATAAGCTGACAGAAGTTATGTCCCTCTCAAGTCTTTCTGTTCATGTGATCAGTTACCAAATTCTGATTCCCAAATGATAAATAAAATTGGTTTCAGACTGGTCACACCAGCAGGTTTCACAGCAAGATCTAAGCAGGATACAAACTCCTTCCACAGCTGTTTGCACAGGGTGTATCTGTGGGTGTCTTCATTATTTGTATTTCTCTCTGGAATGGTGGGTAAGACACCCTTAGGGACTCTTGAATCCAAAGCAAGACTAACTCCAGCTCAGTGCTGGGCAATACTGATGTCTCAGAAGTAGGTAGGTCACCAACAACATGGCACCAGTAAGTTCCTGGAGTTGAGACTGAGGTGCTGTTAAAGCTCCATGGCAAGGTTTTACCCTGAGATTTGCTGTTTGTACACCATCATAAAATGTCTTTGAGGAATTGAAATAGCTGTTGCAATTGAGGAAGTTGGACCAGTGTCAAAAGGAAGGTGAAGCAAAGCAGCTCTCTCCAGTCATTTGGAGATTTAAACTAGTGTAAAATCTGCAGCTGAGATGTCTGAGCAGTGTGATATGATGATGCCACACAGATAATGGGTTTCCAGAGACAGGTTTGAAAGCCAATGTTTCAAAGAGTACATATTGCAGAAAGAGTGGGACCTACAGATATGCAAAGTGGTGCTTGAAGCAGCTGGATAACAGCACCCAAACCCACACACTGCAAGGAAAACTGAATGAGAACTGATTGCACTATACAGCCAAGCAAGACAGTAAAAGAGAGAAATACAAGTATCTGGGCAGCTAAGTGATACAGAATGTTGTTTTAGTCCACCTTTCCAGCTACTTCTAGCACTGCCAATAATTTACTGGATTAGTATGAAAAGATTGGCTGGAAAAAAGTCATCTGTCTACCTGCTGCAGGTAGGAGTGGTTGCTACAAAACTGAAATAGCAGCTGCCCTCAGGGACCAAAACCACTTGCATGACAGGACTGAGCAGGGCAGAAATAGTACACAGGTGCAGGGGAGGAAGAGACCAGGCAGCAGTCAGCATGTAAGGGACAAGGTAATCATGCCAACACACATGCAAATCTTGCCAAAAAAACCCCCACAAACCTATAAATCCAAGAGATTAAAAAGGGCTCTGCAGATTCTTGCTGGAGTGCTGAATTCTTTGCTGAAGCTGATGCCAGCATGAGTTGACATTAAAAACTCTAGATTGTTAACTTAAGCAGGGAGGGAGATGGTGACCTGGTGGCCACCACAGCTCAGTGTGAGAGAACATCACCTCATGGGGACCCATCTAACTGCTTGGAAGTGAGAATTTTAAGGCTCTGAGCCTGTGAGGAGTCCAAAAATAGTAACCCTTCAATTTTCACATGGTGTGATCAGTGACAGAAGTCTAAGGACAATCACAGTACAGAAGGTTGGCAAATACCACCACGTTAGGGAACAGACTAGAACATTGCTCTTGCCTTTCACAGACACACAGAACTCAAGGATGTGAGCCAGGACACAAGCTGTCAAGAAAGCCATCAGAGATGAGAAAATCAGCCCATAAATTTTACTGCATTGTTTCCAGAAGGAGATTTTATCATGGATTTTGTGATAAGGAAGGTAACCTAGTCCATCATTCTGTCCACCATATCTAAGTGTTCCAACTCCAGAAGCAGAGAACAGTCTCTCCTTCATTTTGAACCAATGAGACTTAAAACAGAGAGCAAAGAAGAGCTGCTACACCATGCAACCTTGCAAGACAGGTCTCCTAGTAAAATACAAGGGAATTAAAGACTCTGGAAGTCTGCAAGATTGCAACAGCATTGGAAAAAACCCTAAGGGTTTATTTTAGAAACCTGCCTTGAAAAGTCAATTCAACTGTACATGGCAATGCCATGGTAATACCTTGTGTTATGAGGCACTGGTAGCTCCAACACAGACCTGTCCTCTCTTTCCTGGCATCAGGTTTTCAGCAGCAGAGAGAGCATATTTAGGGTTAGGGAGAGGCAGTGTTACCTGCTCCAGCCTAATAGCATCAGCAAATATCTCCTATTTGCTCATATTCCTCATGCTCCCTCCATATGCAGCTATAGCTTCCTTTGCAAATCATTGACTCTTTATTAGATTAACTGCTCAGGCATAATAAAACAAATTGTTTCTAACATTGGTTAAATATCATCTATATTTATATTCTTATACACTGCAGAACAGTCACATGGCTATAAAACAGTAAGAAAACAAGATAAAAATGAGACCCTTAGCCACCTCTGTTACACAAGTGTTGAAAAGAGCATTTCCAGCTTAGGAAGAGAGAGGTTCATGAACTTGCCTATCATTGGGCCTGAGAAAGGACAAAAACACAGGTCTGGCTGCACAAAGAGGTGGAGGGAGCAGGTGAGGGATGTGATGGATCTTCCCTTGAAGACAGCTGACAGTGAAATGTTAGTGCTTTGCCAATGAGCAACACTCTCACAGGTTGTCTGAGGTGACCATTTTCCTACTGAATCAAAGGTTAGCTATAGTCCAGGCCACAAAACAGAGGGTCTTAATGCTTTGAAACTTTCACTCTTTCTTGTGCTTCCACATAACAATGGCAGTTACTGAAACACTCAGCAAATAACCATGGCTAGGCTAGTGCTGCAAATACAGAGAAACAAGGAGCAGCAGTTGGTTGGTTAACTGCAAATGAGTTGTCCTTGTTGGGTGGAGCACGTACTGCTGTGTGGAAGCTGAGGGTGAGCTTTCAGAAAGGATCCCACTACTCCAACCACCTCGTGCTTTCCCTTCAGAAACTTCTGCTAGGTCACAGGCTTCTCTCCCTGACATTAAAAGGGAACCCAGGACCTGTTCAGTGAATGGACTTCTATTCCCTTCCAAAAGCAAGACTCTATCCTGAGGCTGGATTGTTATGGCTGAGCTTTTCTCTTCAGTCTAACTAAAAGAGAGAGGTAACTAACAGGAGAGCTGTAAGGAAGGAGTTTTTTACTAAGAAGTTTGTAAAACACTGGCACAGGGTGGCCAGGAGGTAGTGGAAACATTCAAGGTCAGGTTGTATGGGGCTCTGAGCAACCTAGTCTAGTGGAAGATGTCCCTGCACAGTGCAGGAGGTTGGACTAGATGACCTTTAAAGATCCCTTCCGACCCAAACCATCCTGTGATTCTATTTGTCTGGATCTATTTGATATATTTTTATATAATTCAATTATAAGCACTCAGGAAAGGGCCATTTTTTAATCTGCATTTGTGCAGCATCAAGTACTGTGGGTTCCTGGGCTACGACTGGGGCGAAGGTAATACAGATAACAACAAATTGAAATCACCAGGCAATTAATATTGTTCTGCTGCAATCTACCTAGTTATGGAAATGACTGGTACTTCAAGGTAGCCAAAAGCATGCCCACAGACAAATTATACTGTAATTAAATCTGCTACCACAGCAGCTGCAATACCCTTATTGCAAGGGAAGTGGTCAATTTTCCTGTACCAAAACATTAGGCAAGAGCAATAAAGGTGTGGATTGAGGTACAAACAGAACAGCCCAAAGGCAAAGACCTGTGGGTTTTTGTGGAGGTCTGAATTGTGATAGGGAAGCAGCTGAGACATCAGGCACACCTAGCTAGTGCCAAAATGCCAAGAGGCAAAATGGACATTGAGAAGGACAAAAGCAAGACAACATCTCAGGCTTTCTGTAGGAGACAATGCACACAGTCTTCTAAGGAGTTTGGTGGAGACTGGCATATGGAAAGGATTATACTTACATAGGCTCCCACGATGCTGCTCTTGGCAGCCACAAAGATGAGACAGATGAAGATGGCTGAGCCGAGCATGCCAACGGCACACACGAGGGGATCGGCTCGCTGCGTTTTCAACCGGCACCATTTGGTAGCTCCTGCCCCTGTGATCACCCCCAGGAAGCCAGTGAAGCATGTGATAGCTCCAAAGATCAGGCTACAAAAATAAATAAATAAAACCAATAAGAGGTGGGGTTAGTTTGGAGTTTTTCCCCAAAAATGGGTATGGTCTTTGGATTCATTATCAGGGTAAAGTGACTCATGGAAACTTGCACATTTTGCTTGGCAAATTTAAAGTAAAACAAAAGAGGTTCTCTGCTGAGGCTTGGGAGCTTAGCCCCCTTCCCCTGCCCCTGAAATTCATCCTTGTACACAGGCATTGATCCATGTGCAAAGGGCTCACAGAGCTTCTTTGGGTGGAACTGAGCTTCCTACGAAGTGCCTTGTACAGCTAATTATGTATGCACAAAACTGATTAATAACCTGCACATTGATCATGTAAGGGGAAATCAGGAAGCTTAAGGGAAAGGAAAGCTAATAAGGCTCTTAAATATCAGTGATTTTCAACATTGACTTTTTAACTCTACACTACACTAGCCAAAAGGCTGAGAAGCAATTTTCAGACCCTCTCAAAGAAACCTTTTGCTGTTAGGTGACATGTTTGAAACTTGCTGATTTCAATGCAAAGAGCCAGGAGCTGTCAAGGATCTCTGTACTGTATGTGCAGGACTTGGATTACAGAGTCTTTGGCAACTACATTAGAGTAGCTCCAGGGCAGCTCAAAATCGAGGTGTCATCAAGGAGGAGAAAACTTCTCTCTGTAAACAGCAGATGGGCACTCAGACTGGAGCTGTGTTTTCTGCTCACTGCCTTTCTGCAGAGCAGCTTGAGATTGCCCCCTGGACACTCTGCTTGATGGGACTCCAAGCCACAAAGTCGTTTACTTGAGATGGGATTATGTCAGCTAGAGCAACAAGGTTTTCCTCATATTATTTTCCCTCACAAGCTGAAGAGCAAAAGAGCTGACAAAAGGCAGTTTTTTCTATCTTCCATTTACCTGGAGAAATGCTTTTATAGCATTTTCTGGTTTGTGTCATTCTGGTAAAGCACAAAATGAAGAATTACTTTTCACAGCTTATGTGCTGCAAGTCAATATTACATAACCAGGACTGAAAACCCAAACCACTGTGTAACATCAAGCACTCCAACCCAAAGTGTCCCAGATCTCTGCAACGTTCTTCAGCAGAGCTCAGCACATACAGCAGAATCCAGAGCAATGAACAGTGAAGTCCTCCCTCAGACAGAGAGAAAAGCCTTCAGGATTAGTCCCTGCAGCTTTAGGGGAACCAGTCCAACTCCTGAACTACAGCCACCACTGGGGCTACCCAACCTTATAGCTTATTCTGCTGCTATCACAGATGGGTTTTAAGAAACCAAATTCTCAGCTCTCCAAACATCCTCTGAGGCAAAGACAAAACTCTGCACCACAGCCTGGGAACTAAGACAGAGCTGAGGTCATCGCTACTCCCTGAGTTTGACTTCATGCAATGAAGAAGAGAAATCAAACCTAGTTTACAACCTCAGCATTTCCTATCATTGTTGCAAAGACCTAAAGGAAATTACAGACATTCTAGTAACTTGACTCTGTGGGAATTGCCTGTTTCCTCTGGTAAATAACCTCCCCATCCCCTTTTGCCCCTCTGTAAAGCAGCAGAGTACGACCCTCACCTATCTTTGGTGCCACAGGGCTGGGAGCTGCAGGTCTCTGCTGTCTTCTGCACAACCTGTGCTCTGTGAAGGTACAGAGGGATCCACATGCCAAGTGCCCCCGTGGCAAAGGAGACAGCTGAGGTGGCCAAGGATGAGAACACATAGCTGCGGCTGTGGAGACACGAGAGGCAAAACCAAGAGTAGGTTCAGTGGGAAAAGTGAAAAAGCAGGAGCCCCACACAGGAGCCAGTGCTGTAGGGACAAAACACAGTGTCCCTCACACTAGCCACCTCCCTTTGCCCTGGGGAAGGGACAACACAAGGTACAGAGCAATGGAGAAGAAGCAGCATGGAATATTCATACATGATGCTCCAGTAATAATGTACTGAGCTCTCCAGAGGTGCTTCAGAGAGACTGTTTTCCATGGGACTGTTTCAAAAGATAATCACTACTTAAAGATGTGACATGTGAATTACAGAGCTTTCACCCTTATAACACCTCTTTACCACTATGACCAGTTTCACTTCTCCATCCCCATCCATGCCACCATATGATGACCACTAGCATAAACCACCAAAAGAAGTAGCACAGAAATATTGATAAATTATCCATCATCACTTTGCACAGTCCTCTGACACTGGATGACAATACCAGGAAGGCATTCTAGCCAGCAGTTCTAAAAATGAAGGACACCACAAGTTTCCCATCAGAATTCCAAAGCAACACTGCATTAACAAGTGCAGTATTTGCACATTCACAGCTTTCTGGAAGGAAGTACAGCTGCTTAAATGATCTTTTCTGCACACATACAAGCACCCAAGCACATTCAGTGCTCATGGATTCAGTCACACCTGGTTGTAGAAACACATACATTTAAACTTGCCATGCAGTGCAAGATTTTGTGTATTTGCTCCTCTTAAATTGCTCTGGCATTTAATTCTCTTTTTTCCCCTCAGCGAAGTAGCTCTTTTAAGGAAGAAAAAGGATCTAAGAGTCTGAACAACAGTGGCACAACAATTAATACAGGAACACAGCAATTTCTACACTTCAAAAGCCTTGATTTGTGTGAAGTATGAGCCAAACAAAGCAGGCTCTCTCTTAGATGTCAGTCTTGGAAAGGTTAGAGCAAAAGTTGGAGTCCAACATCATCACTGCAGTCAATACCTCATGTAACTGATTTTCTTTCCTAGGTCCACAGACTAAACTTCCTGCATGTCGTCACCTTCCATTCTCACTGTGCTAAGTCCAGACCATTGGATGTTCCAATTAAGCATTAAATGCAAAATATACATTTCACTAGAGCTCTTACTTTCTAATCAGTGCTTTCATGTCCCTCAGCCAGGACGTTCGAGCCTTCAGCTGTCCCCCAAGTTGTTCCACATTTCCTCTTTTAGCAACAGGCACAAATATCAGGATGAGTGTCCCTGTTATCATTCCCAGCAGTGGAGATACCTGCAAGAAAAAGGAGCAGGGAATTAGCACAGGAGTCAGCAGGGTTTGCTTTGACTGGTCAGTAAGAAGAAGATGACATTAGTTTTGTTTCAGTGACTTGCTCCTCATAGCCAGGCAGAGTCTGTAAGCATCTGAGGCATCTGCTCCTTTCCTTCCTCCCTGTCATTCCCTGGATTCTCTTATCTCACTCTGGAAGCATGGAGCTTTGAGAATACTCTGATTAAGGTAGTCCATCATGTTAATAAGTACCAAGAGTCATCTAAACACTGTTCTACAGGGATGTTTAACTCTTTGGAAACCTATTCCCAGCTGGGCTGAGACACCAACTAGTTAGTGGCTGAGGGCAGAAGCCTTTTGAAGGCAATGAGAGCAGGTGAAAGATTTTTGGGTGTAGGGAGCTTGCTGGCTTTGAAAAGCCTTGTTTGACATGCCTCCCTCTTCCAGCTGACCCACACTGGCTTCCCACTTTCAGGCATCTTCCTCAGATTACCTCGGTGTACAGTGACCAAGAAACATTGACAATTCAGGCTGGAAGACAGGAAAACAACACATCCAAGGTTAGGTTTCCCAGTCTCCAATCCTTTCTCCCAAGCACTAGACAAAAAATACAAAGATCCTATGGTGCTTTGCAAGCTACAAACATGATTCTTGTTTTGACACTGAAATTCCATTATTGTCAGAATGGAAAATAGCTCCATTAGGAAAACAGGAACATGGGTTTTCACTGAACTATCATCTCTTCCATACATGCTATTTAAAAAAGAAATTCCTGTTCAAAAAAAACCCCCACCATGTTTCCATTATTAACCTGAGAATGGCCTTTACTCCATGTGTAAAGTGTGTGCCTAAAGACAACAAACACACAATTCTACTAAGGAAGGGAAGACAAAAGTATTTTAGAACAGGAAAGTCAGGCAAATCCCTCAACCAGGAATAAAAGAAGCCTGATCCAGGATCCTTATGACAACTGAGCACAAGACACAGCACTGGTGAAAAAAAAACAAACAGAAATGCTGGTACTTTCTAGGGCCTGGTAATTTCAAGTCTCTTTGATTTTTATCTAAAGGCTTAAATCCCACCAGGACAATATCCATTGACACTCAGTAATGCTCCAATGAAACACTGACATTACTGCTGGATCCAAAGCTGCCACTTGCCCATGTGCCCTTCTGGCTTCTTCAGCTCACTGAAGTATGGATTATTCCTGACCTCTCCTGGATTTGGAGACCACAGAGGGAAGCATCACCTCAGGGAGTCATTCACAACTTGCAAGAGCACAGTAACTGCCACAGGGATGGAAGCTGCTTACACTGATGTCTGGAGGCTTTCAACATGTGCTGTTTGACTACAAAAACTGAGCAATGCTGCCCAAAACAACCATCACAGACACGTGCAGCTCCTCGGGTTCCCCACAGTTTTGTACAGTCAGGGAATCATACACCAATGTGTCATTTACAGTGGAAATCAGGACTCTGTAAGGGGTACAGTCTCGAATATAAGCCTGGATGTCTCAGGATAACTATGGAGACTACATCTGAAGAGAAAGATGCTAGATCTCTTTGCACAAATGAATCATTTGGGTTTTACAAACAGAAACACAAGAGCACTCCAATATATCCACCTCACTAAAGCCCACTCACCAGGAGAAGGAGCTTTGGGGTTCTTGTTTCTTGTGCTGGAGTTAATCTTACCCTTAAAATATTTCTGCTACCCAATGAGGCAGCCATCCTCTGGGTGTGCAGCTGGAGGCTACCACACTTTCCATTTCAGGTTCTACCCTCTACTCTCCCATGGATGAACCATTCTCATGGTGATGTTCTTAGCTTTGCTTACCCTGGGCATGGCCTGTGCCACAGGAGGGCACATTTGCTTGAGATGGGAACCCATGTACTTCATCACTTGCTGTTATAAATGGTGTTGGCCTGAACTTCATGAGATTCACTGTCTCCATGAAGTGCCAGAGCCAAGGAATGCACCTCAGAGGGGCTTGTGCCACCCTGACTGCCAAAGGTCAGAAAACAGTTCTGCTGGGACATTTCCTCTCAGCTCTTTCAAGACATCTTTGTGTGCAGGATCTGTTTGTGAGTATGTGATTGGAGTGGATTATCTTTTCAGCACATTTATCATGGTCCCAAGAGGTTAAAATAGAAGGAAACCAACTGTCTCAGGGCAGAAAAACAAGCGGAAACTGGAACAAAGTGTTTTTTCCTCAAAGCAGGAAGCCATTCTCAGAGTTTCTTGACAGCAGGGACTGAAAGACTGTGGAGTTGATTTAAGGCCAATGCCTTGTCTTCCCATCCCCATCAAGAAATCATGGCTGACTGATAATACAGTGATTGGATAATTCTTGCTCCCAGGCAGGGAAAACACCAAGTACAACAAGCCAAACCCACATACCTTTCCCCTTTGCTTAGAGAGTGCATCTGCTATGCACTTAACATCCACAGATGTAATTCCAATCCTTTACCTTCTAGGTATAATAACAGGTTGAGCAATTGTGTGATGGATCTCTTCCTAACACTGATCAACTGATGCAGCTGCCATTAAGATGTGATTAAGAGTGACTTACCCTCAAGGCCCAGTGCCAGTCTCCAGCAACCTGCTTCACACTGGACCCAGTGATGTACCCCAAGCCACTGCAAGAAACACCAAAGTGAGAGTTGGTCAGAGCTTTCAGAATACCACAGTCACAGCTGTTCTTAGACAAGGATAAAGAGAGACACAATCCACTCTGTGTCCTGGGCTCTCTTCTCCTGCAGGAGGAGACACAGGGAATGAAGCAGATGGTGGCTGATACATAACTCTTCCCAGCACTGCTGATCTAAAAATGTTCCAATCTGATGGAAATTTGGACACTGATCTCAGGTTTATAGCTGACCTTTCAATCTACAGTGGATGGAAACAAAGCCTCAAAAATAATTTATTTCCCAATTTAATTCCTGCATCAGGCCTTTCCCTGCACTAATATGAATATTAGACAATTTTATGTTCAAGCTCTCTGTTATAAAGTGCCCTTCAAGGACAGACCATATTCCATCATTTAATTGTCTTCTTGTCACTTAATAGTACTTGATTCTAATTACCCAGGAAGAGAACATCTTCCATAAGCTCGTAAGAAAAACCAGAAAGAATATGCAAGATTTTGATGGGAGAACATCAGACCTGAAGCTGTGAAATCCCATCTGAAGACTGAGGAGTAACAGGACCTTCAGCCCCATGCTAAGACAAAAGGTGGCTCAGAAGATACAGAAGGTGAATGTAGCCACACTTCTCTCAACTTAAGCTGAGTGGATGTGAATATTTTTTTCAAAACTACTTCACTTGTTGCTGAGATGGCCTTGGCAAAAAGCTGCCAGGACTGCTGTGGGACAGCTGTCAGCCCTCACCTGCCTTTACTGAAGAGTCTGCTAAGCTTTGGTGGTTGCCAGCTATAGTCATCCCAAAACTGGACCTTTTACACAGACAGGTCCCAAAATCAAACCATAGATCATCAGAGAATGGTTTGGGTTGGAAGAGACCTTAAAGATCATCTCATCCCCCCCCCTGCCATGGGCAGGGACACCTTCCACTAGACCAGGTTGCTCCAAGCCCCATCCAACCTGACCTTGAACACTTCCAGGGATGGAGCAGCCACAGCTACTCTAGGCAATCTGTGCCAGTGCCTCAGCACCCTCACAGGGAAGAATTCCTTCCTAATTTCCAATCTAAACTTCCCTCCTTTCAGTTTACAGCCATTCCCCACAAGCCTTTGTAACACACACCTCTGTTGGATATTAGATATTTAAGTCTCAGAATCAGGCTCAACAGGATGAATATTTGTAATTTTTTGTTAGCCACAGATCACTGAATTCTCTGTGCAAATACTTGGAATCCCTTGGTCCTCTTGGCAAAATATTCTTTTAATCAGTGAAGAACCTGTTTCTCCCTTTTCCCTCAAGAGCAAAGGGATGTTTGTGAGTTTTAGCCCAGGGATGAGTGCTCTAGCACCACTGGAAGTTTTGTCCTGAGTTTGGAACATGTTGCCCATGTTTTCCCTGATGGAAATGAACCCATGATGCCACTTTTGCACAGGATGTTGTCTAGCTCTGGCAATAGGTATGCAAACTATGTGAACCTCACAATAGAGGGTCAAGCCATTAGCTAAAAAAAATAAAAACAAAAATAATGACAGATTCCCTCCTGTCCCAACAATCAGATACTGATAAGGAAACTCAACTGAAAGAAAAAAGTCAGCAAAAATATTTTGATTCCATTTCCACCCTATTGCTGTAAAAAACAAAAACAAAACAAAAAAAAAAATTAAAAAAAATACTTCCCACTAATTCCCAAAAGTCCCACATGAACCAGTAACAGGGTCAGAAAAACAATCTAATTCCTGCAACTAATTAGTCACTGCTCACAATTTTTTCCTGTCTAAACCATTCCGACCAAAGACAGAAGTAGCATCATTAGGGACTTCAGATCTGTGTGAGCTTCTTTAAGAGCAAAGCCAAAGCCAGACCAAAGCAGCACTGTGTCACTTACCTGCCCAGGGGAATTGCAAAGTAGAAAACAGACAGCATAAGGGTCCGTGTGTTTTTGGTGAACAGGTCTCCAATGATGGTTGGGGCAATAGTGGAGTAACTTGCCTCACCGATGCCAACCAGACCCCGGGAGAGCACAAGCAGCCAGAAATACTGAGAAAAGAAGTAAAACACATAATCAAGTCTCCTCTTGCCTTTTTAAATTCAGGATGGACACAAAAAACTCTGTGAAAACAGGGAAGCATAAGCCTCTCTGACTGGAAAATGATCCTCTTGTATGCATTTATTTCAGACTAATTTCATTTGTCTCTTGCTGGGAGGAAAGGGACTAATTTATTTTTTTGGTGAAGATTTATGAGCATGAAAGAAAAGTAAATATAAAATGTTTACTTAGTGACACTCAAGAATGTATTCCAGAAGAGGCAGAAGACCCTCAGTTTGCTTCCAGGATGCAGCTCACTCTTGCTAAGGCCAAGTTTGGAAGGTCTGGGGAAGTGGGTGAGCATAACCCTGCTCTGGGATCCAGGCACAACAACACCTGCAGGGCACAATCCAACCTTCCCAGTGTGCCAAGGACTGGGGAAATCCTAAAGGCTCTTCAAAGCTCTGAAAGTGTTGAACCTGCAATCTCTCAAACTAAATTTTTTCTTCATTAGAAGCTCTGGAATAAGGCAATTTTTCAAAAGGTTCTAAGCATCCACCTCACTCCACTTGCCTTGAACAGCAGCACACATCTCCCTTCACTACAGGGAGGCAAATAAACCAGCACTGAACAGTTCCAAAACACAGTCACAATTTCAGCTGCACAAAAAGAAGACTTGAGCCTTACTGGGAGCCCCACGAATAACCATGTACTCCATAAACAGGACCCACAGGTGAACAACTCAGAGCCAAGGGCAATCCCACAGAACGAGGAGATGGACTTCACATTCAGCACAACTCAGCCTAAAATGGACAAAAAGGAATTGCTCATCTAATAGAATTGTCTTCATGGCCCATTTCCCTGTTTCAGCAACACTTTGATGAACTGCAAGGACCTGATTTCAACCTGACCTCTTTCACTACACCTGCAGTTTTCTGGGTGCTGCTGTGTGCAGGATACTTAGATGCCTAAATACCTGATACAGGAGCACAAGCAGGTTCCCAGCCATCTAAGCAGAGTGAGCTACACCCAGAAGTAATTGCAGGGGCAGAAATGAAACAGTCAATGCAGAAAGCTGTAAGCACAGGGAAATCTATTTCTACACATGTAACCTCTACAAATCCTCAGTTTACTGTTATTATTCTATAGATTATTTGTGAGAAGAACAGCAGGGATGTAAACTGAGAAGGGGATAAATTAGATATAAGGAAGAAATTCTTCCCTGTGAGGGTGCTGAGACACTGGTACAGGTTGCCCAGAGAAGCTGTGGTTTCTCCATCCTTGGGAGTGTTCCAGGCCAGGTTGGATGGGGCTTGGAGCAACCTGGACTAGTAAAAGATGTCCCTGCCTGTGGCAGGGAGTGGAACTTGATCTTTAAGGTCCCTTCCAACCCAAACCATTCTGTGAGTTATGATTATGATATGTCCTAAAACATTCAAGTGCTTTAAGAACAATGAGCAATTACTGATTCTCTTTCTTCAGATGGGAAAAAGTTAAGGGAAGTGACTGCCTTTGTGCTCCAGAGCAAAGCCAGAGCACAGCTCTCATTCACACACATGGAAAATGCCATGCAGACACCAAGCCATGTGCCTCAGTCATAAATACATCCATCAGCAGACAAAAATCACCCACTGACGTCTTTGCATTGTTTTCCTTGCTGTAATCCCCTAGGTTGAAAAGAATTTTTTGAGGATTCCTATAGCCACATCAAACAAATGCTTTTGTGCTCTCTTCACTTCCTCATATTTGCTGTGAATTCTGCAGCAATGCCCATTTTCTGAGTGAATCCAAGTTCCTTGTTTGCTGGCAGGGTGTGTGCAGTGCTGCTCTCATTCATCTCTCACCCATCTGCTGCACACACGTAACACACACACGTGGGTGTCTGCAGCAAGGGCAATACTGTGACTCAAGGGATTTAATTTATGCCAATTACCCAATGCTCAACTGCAGAAATATGCTGAGAGTGATTGGTGCACAGGTAACCAATGTGTTAGGGATGAGCAACAGTATTTACAACATGCTGAAAGGCTTAGTCATGCAGAATTAGAAAGCAGGCTGACTGTGGTTTCTTAAGAGGTTCAGATCTGGATCACAGAGAGGGTGACAGGCACAGCAATCATCTGCCAGGCCTGGCATGAGTATACACAGTGCTAGTTACACCTGTAGAATGACAAGTTTGTAAATGCATCAGATGCTCCTCAAATTTGAAATACCTACAGAAAAATGACACATTTTTGTGCTCACCAGCCAATATCACTCCCAGTGAATGCACTAGACAGGAATTTCCTCCCAACAATATTGTTAGAAGGTTCCTCTTACAATCCTTGTGTAAAGCAGGAAAACTGTACAAAGTATTTATTCCTTTTGTGGTAAAGAGTGACTCAGTTCCATCAATACCATGGAATCAGATGCCCAATACAATGAAATCATCTGCAACAAGTAACATGTTCACTCTTCTCTCCCTGTTCCACCTCAAATCCTCCTCCCTGGCTTATCCCATACTTATACCCCCCAAATATCTGTTCAACATTAATATGTGAGATATATTACTATGTTCTCTGAAGCAGTGGTGTTCACACTGAAGTCATGAGACACTGACTCCAGTTGGGAATAAAAGCAGTGCTAAAAGACATAATCCACATAGAGACCTCAATAGCATTGCCCTTCTGTGATCAGATACTCAAGACCATGGACCATGCAGCATTTAGGGGTGAAAACTAGGCAAAACATACAGAAATCTCTAACAATGTAGGGAATTATTTATAGTCAGTTCTATGTTGTGCCTGGTTTTGGAGCTCTGTATCTAGGATTAAAGAGCTAAGAGCTCTTCTCATCTAGTTCTAGTGGCCCTTCCATGAGAGGCTTTACCTTTCCATGTTTCAAGCAGGAAAAAAAAAAACCACAAACAACAAAACAAGTCCAAAATTCTTATGCTGCTGCTGATTTGGAGCACATGGACCACTTAGAAACTGGTGCTCAAACTACTCTGTATGCTATAATGCTGATTTTTGTGTGCATTTCTATACATATATACCCATAGGAACATCCCTCTCCCAGGGTATGTGGACATGACAACCAGCACAAACAAATGGGAAGTCAGATACTGCACACACAGAGGAAGTTCTGTTCTCCTCCACAGCTGTAGCAGGACACCTCTGCCATTTCCTCTGCACTAGATTTTTCCCCCAACTGCTTTTCCATCTCTGCCTGACCCCAAGGTTCTCAGTAGTTTAGTGAGACAAAAAGGGCTGACACCAGCCCAATTCTCTCTCCAGCATCTGTGCTTAAAAGCAGAACAGGCAGCTCAGACTTTTAACTGAATTTCACTGTTCCCCAAGCAGAAATTGATATATATTGAAGAAATTGTTCCTTTCTATATGACTTGGGAGCTCTTCTGTAATTTGTTCATCTGTGTAAATCGGCTTCTGGCAAGAAAATTGAAAATATCTGAGTCAGCTTTCAGGACCTGAGCTGATTCCTTCCCCATAGATTAAGCCCAGCAACAACACTTCAGTATTTTTCTGAAACTGAAGTGCTTGAAACTGAAGTTTTTCTGAAACAAAGAGCTCTTACAGCAAACAACTTATCTGTGCCTTTCATTTTGGTTAGCAGCCATATCAGAGATGTCTACACTTCCATGAGAGCTGTCAGCATCTCCTGGTTTGGAGAGATGCACTGGTTATTTTGGGCTGGGTGTAGGGCAGCAATCCCTTCCCTGTCTGTGTCAGCCCAAAGTGCTGCCAGGACTCCACAGCCACAGCCACACTGGAGCACAGCTCCAAGGCACCAGCCTGGACATGGACAGCTGGAGAGGGATGATCACAAGGACACCTGAACCATAGAATGTGACTGCTCTGAGCTCTGAGGGCAAATTGGGTTGTGAATGGGCTCCCAGTCGCTTTCCCCAACTGGTATGTGCCACAAAGGTGAGACACAAGCTAGGGAAGGTTCCAGTACACACAGACCATCCATCAACATATGAAAGAATAGTGGCTGCAGAGTCCCAGAACCACCACAGCCTTCCTGGGAATTTCCCTTCAAGAGATGACATCAGCAGAAACTAGTGCACAGAGAGAGCATTCAAACCTATGAATGTGAGGTACAAAAGGTCAATGGACCTGTCCTCTTCTTCCTATTTTCTAAATATATGGAAGGAAAATACCCTCTAGCTGTAAAGCTACAGAATTTACTCCTTTGTGATTTGAAGACTAACAAGAAGGCCAATGGCATCCTGGCCTGGATCAGGAACAGTGTGGTCAGCAGGACCAGGGAGGGGATTCTGCTCCTGTACTCAGTGCTGGTGAGGCCACACCTTGAATCCTGTGCTCAGTTCTGGGCCCCTCAGGTCAGGAGGGACATTGAGGGGCTGGAGCAGGTCCAGAGAAGAGCAACGAGGCTGGTGAAGGGACTGGAGCACAAGTGCCATGAGGAGAGGCTGAGGGAGCTGGGGGTGTTCAGCCTGGAGAAGAGGAGGCTCAGGAGAGACCTCATCACCCTCTGCAACTCCCTGACAGGAGGTTGGAGTCAGGTGGGGGTTGGTCTCTTCTCCCAGGCAACCAGCAGCAGGACAAGAGGGCACAGACTCAAGCTCTGCCAGGGGAGGGTTAGGTTGGATATTAGGAAGAGATTTTTTACAGAGAGAGTGCTCAGGCATTGGAATGTGCTGCCCAGGGAGGTGGTGGATTCACCATCCCTGGAGGTTTTCAAGCTGAGACTGGATGAGGCACTTAGTGCCATGGAAAAAAGGTAGGGTTGGACTCAATGATCTTTGAGGTCTCTTCCAACCAGATTGATTCTATGATTCTAATACAAGCAAAAAAGAAACCCAATCCCCCAAAATAGATACAAGTTTTGGAAGGGATACAAATCCTTATGCCTCAGGGATGTGCTGATAGGGAACAGAAACACTCTACCTACTAACTTCTGAATTCCTTAAACTATCAGCAAACCATTGGCAACAACAGTGACAGATCATGGGGTCAGATGGACCTGGTCTCGTTGCTGTCAGCGA